TGCACAGCAAACCACTTGGAAAAGGCCAGGCAAGGGAATCCCCGTAGACAATTTTCTTTGCCACGATATCGACATGACATAAAGTCCAGTGACAACCTCGCTTGTCGTCAGCACCAAGGAAAGTTCCACGTTCATCCCGACCGACATTAAGTGCAAAGATAAATTTCGATGGAAGATTAGCGTTTCCATTTCTGAATCGGCGGTAAGTTTTTGGATCTGTGTTTAGTGCGCCATTCAAAAAAATGCAATATGTATCATTTTGGGATTCTGTTAAGGTTTTCATCATCCAAGTTATGTGATCAGAAGAAAGCCAACGGTTAACGCATCCCATTGCTAACTCCATTGGTGTCATACCATTTTCGTTGCATATTGCATCATATCTGTTGAGGTAAAGCATTTTCTGGAAATCTGCAATCGAGGAATATGGTGGATGTTGCGAGACTGTCTGTGGTTTGTTGTATGACTTGGAAAACCAGTTGACCTCTTGTTGTACAGCTGCCTGGATATTTTTGGCAGTGTGCAACTTCAACAGGACATTGATACAATTGATGTCTAACGTACCGGAATATGTCTGAATGTATTTCATTCTACCATTGTTGTTAATGTCCCTCTTCCACGAGTGTAATTGATTTTCTGATGGAATTGATTTCACAATAAATGGATCCAAAACTTGTTGAGACTCAGAATAACATGCAAGCGTTGCTGAATTCCAGTCCTTTGCAGCTGTTGGTGGGATAGCGCATTCAAAAGCATCTCCTCTGCTGAAGTTATTTATGATATGTGGTGTAAATTTTCTAGAATTATGACTGATGAAAGAAACCTATAATATTTAGAAAACAAAGTCCATATTGGTGGTAAATTCTATTTAAATTTAAGCCTTCGCACGTTGCACTATTATCAAAAATTATGCCGACTAATTTAATAAAAGAAATAAATGGGTTGGCATTGCGTCGTATTTTGAATTAAATTCGTCTTGTGAACGCTCTGTAGCGCTTCTTCGTTTCAACGAAAAGTGCTAGTATTGACAATAAAACGTTAAAACAATAAACATCTTTCCTTTCTATCTTACATAGTTACAAATATATTACTGACTTTTCTTGTAAATAGTCCATAATCCACTCTCTCCCCGGAAAATGTTGAAATCAGAATTCCCAGGGAAAATTCTGCATTTGATCTGGGATACTAGACTGTTGACATTTTATATCTATATGCATAAATCACTTTATCTTTTTAATATTTGTGGCCCCCTCATCTAGGCACCCCTACCCCACCCACATGGGCGTACGGGGCTGGTTTGTTCGGGGGGGGGGGGGGTTAATTTAAGAGGATTGTAACTTTGGAGAATTGTGATAAATCTGCCCTAATTTTCTTGACTTTTCCTCGCATTTTTTTTTTTGGGGGGGGGGGGGGGGGCAGTTGCTCCCCTGCCACCTGTCTCGTACGCCTATGCCCTCCCACCAGCAAAACGTTTGTGTGGTGTATTCCCTGGAGTATATTCTGTCTGTATACATACATACATACATACTTACCTCTGTCGCAGTTGACTTCGACATTTCAATGGCGAGTTCCAGAATTTGATTTACATTTCTATGTATTTAATTTGGCCCAGTGAACCCTGTGATTGAGTACGATCAGTAACAGAAGAAAACACTAACGATTTAAAGTGCGATGCTTTATTAAATGTTTAAAATTTACATCATAAAATCGACACCTGTCACCTGCAGTTTATTTTAAAATATTGTTCAAATTACAATATTTGGCGCCAATATTTTAATTTTCGCGCCAATTTGTTTTGATTACATCATTCATGGTTGATATCATGACATCATAACTGATACCCAGGTCCTTGCGCGGAATTCAAGATGGCGACGGACAAATGTGCATTCCTCGATTTAGCCGCATGTAAAGTACCAAACATCCGCCATGTTGTTTAGAGATGAAGACACATCTGAACCAGCGATAATTCTGGGGATACGTCGTGTTATATGTGCACAAATATGTCCCGTGTTCCCATGGTTTTCGCTTGTTCCCTTGTCAGTTGTCCCCATTGCAGAGGGTAGGAAGGGATGGGTCACGTTTCACAACGAAAAAAAAAGCCGTTTCACGATTCACGTGTCTTAAAAAAAAATTTCACGGAAAACTAGATTCTAATAAAATAATATAGTAATAATAAGTTTATTAAGAGTATGTTTAATGCATGGTACAGTATCTACGCTTTAAATTCTCTCACTTCTCTACCTGTCAGTTAAAAACTACATCATAACTTACAAGTTTGAGTGACGAGTATGTCCGACAACCTCCGAAAGGCCTCCAAAGTTTTTACTCTTGTGCAATCGAGTGAGATCTCATATAAATTGATTTATATCACGTATCATGTTATAAAATAGATCGAAATAAACAAAGCAAAATCACAGTTCACGAAACCGACATCCTTAATTCTCATTTCACGGAGCATTTTTATCGACAATCACGCCTCACGGCTGTAGAATTAATCACATTTCACGACACTAAAATCAAGCATTTCACATTTCACGCGAACAAATTATTATTGACCATTCATGGCTCACGAAAATACCCTTTCCCACCCTCATTGCAAAATATGTCGTCTTTTAATAGTAATCATCTGCTGGAAAAATCTGGTCACACTGGTTTGTATTGAGTAGTGCTAAATACTGGGTTGAAATCAAGAAGCACGGAGGTGAACTGCACGTGCGTATAGTCAGTTTTGCTACAATCGCGTGCAAAAATAATGAGACTTTTGCTATTTCGTTCTATTTCTGTGATTACTCCCCCCCCCCCTCCCCCGTATTCAACGTTGAAAAAAAAATTTGACCTGACAATATACCTTTGTATCGTTTGTCCAACATTGATTGTGGGGCGAGGGGTGAATGACTTAGTTGTCTCAATCATTTTTGCACGGAATTGTAGATCGATTTCCCAAATTACTTATTGAGCAACACGAATGTGGGGGGGGGGGGGGAGGTAAGGAGGGGGTTAGCCAAAATGATTTATTTTGATTTTTGAAAGGTGAAACATGTTAGTTTTAATAATGTTTTGGGTTTCTACGGTATCGCAGTTTTAAGCGTGTGTATACGTAATTTTCAAAGCAGAGTAACGCTCAACTTGACCGTTGAATATTTGTGTCATTGTTTTTTTACAATTTGATAATAATCGGAAAGAATCTTGCGGGCAATGTACACATAGCCTGCATGGCAGGCGGTCTAAAATACCGCCTGCTGGTTTGCCATTCAACATGGCGCCCAGTCTAGCTCAAAGAATTCCCAGTCCATCCGTTACCAACCGTACGGATCGACAACATTTTGGAGGCCTCCCTTAGCCACACACAAGCTTTAATTTAGCACCAGATTCACGGATTGACATTTCATATTTTCCCATCGTGAATTCTCAGTCCATCCGTTACCAATGGTACGGATCGACGTTCAGTCTTTACCAATCGTTATGACAAAACAAGTCTTCCATCCGTAGCCAAAATTTCACGAAACGAACGCTCCGTATGCATGCGACAGTATTGGACAACCATCACCGAGGAGGACAAGGAGACGAGGTTACGAAAACCAAGAGCATGTGGAAGAAGAACAAATAGAAGAACCGTCCACCCCTGCTTCCTCCTGAACGAACAGGCACTTCCCCTTAATTGCAAGACTGCCATGTGTAAGCCATTCTGAAAGATGAACTGCCCGTTACGTTTCCTTCTCAGCCATATAGTCGATTATACACATGGCTACATTTATCGTTCACCCAATCACAATATATGCATTATCATGGTTTGATAGAGCTACAGAACACTCTAGATGCACTGTATGTATTCTTGGAGATGTACTATTAATCAGCGAATGTTAACCAATTTCTATGATAAAATCTCGCTAAATGTAGTCATACTATTTCTACCATAGAACATAATCATTCTATGTATTTCTACTGGAATGTAGTCTGATAGATGAAGAATGATATCACGTTATCAAACATGGGAGCATAGGCGTGCGGGAGGAGAAAAAAGGGGTGGAGTGGTTGAAAATTTGTCTGAGAATTGTCTTATTTTTTAGTATCATCCGACTTTTAAGTGCAATCTTTCCAACCGAAAAATGATGGGGGGGGGGGGCTGCAGCCCCTCCAGCCCCCTCTCCTACGTATACGCATGGGAGTAAAAATTATAACTGATTTAAGATTCTGGTTCCCTTAAAGGCTGTGAAACTATAATTTTTACTATTGTTCTAAACGCGGTTCGCATTGTTTATTGCTTGCAGGGTTAATAATAAGCCATTCTTTCCCAACTAGTGAAACATTGCAACCAAAATTGGTGATTAATTTTGTAATCAGAATGCTTGCGCGGACGCCATTTTATAACAGAAACATATCGAGCATACACCCTATAAAAGTTGTTTTAATTAAGAGTCGATCTCGTCTAACCATGCTTTGATTATGCCTTGGAAGGGGAGAAGGGGGTTACATTACTTGGTTAATTGTACGAAATGTATCAGTAATTAATGTGTAGGGAGTACCATAACACCATTTTTTGAGTATTTATAGAGTCAGATTTCACCATGCATATAAGTTCTAGTTTTAAATAGGTATGCCTAGACGTAGAATATTTGTAAGCAAGGGTAATATTCTGCATAAAAATTGTTAAAACACGAGGGAAAGACCAATAAATTTATGAATATAAGTTGTAGCAAAGACATATTACTTAATTAAGTATACAATGTTTTAAGGACGTTTCTCGTTTTTGAAGAAGGGGCTTGGCCCGCAATGTAAATCAACTTGTTTGTACTTTTTGCCGGCGATTTTATGTTTACTTCAATATATAATGTTAATGTATTTATTTGAAGGCTAGCTACAATCAGTCTCATTTTTCTTGGGACAGATGCCAGAAAAACTATCAATTTGAACAAGCGTTGATCCCCCCGTCCCCTATTCAATGTTGTTGCGTGCCATTTTTCGCCAGATTCGATGCGTTTTGGTGTTTGAATTTTTTAAAAAAAAGCAACATTGATTGGGTAAGGGGAAAGGGGGAGGGGTGCAGTCCAGTGCTGTCAAGTAACGAAGTAAATGTGCTTCGTTACTGTACTTTTAATCCAATCAGTAGTCCAATCAGAAATCACAGAAGTCCAACCAGTAGTCCAATCAGTCCAACCAGTAGTCCAATTAGTCCAACCAGTAGTCCAATCAGAAATCACAGAAATAATTAGCTCTCTACGATCAGGAACTGCTGGTGGCTATGATAATATTTCTATGCAAATTGTCAAGGATTCTGTTGACTTGGTTTCTGAGCCGTTGACCCATATTGTCAATTTGTCTATTCAATCTGGCATCGTTCCTGATCAGATGAAAATAGCACGGGTTATACCTTTTTTAAATCAGGTGCGGATAATCTGTTCTCCAACTACCGGCCAATATCGGTTCTACCGGTCTTTTCTAAAATTCTGGAAAGGGTCTTGTATGACCGGCTATTAAATTATTTAAACGAATACAATATTTTGTTGAATAATCAGTACGGCTTTAGAAAAAACCATTCCACCTCGCTTGCATTAATTCATTTATTGGATAAAATTACAACTGCTTTTGATGAAAAAAAGTATACTATTGGAATATTTCTTGATTTATCTAAGGCTTTTGATACTGTCGATCATGAGATACTTTTTGAGAAACTTGCACATTACAGTATTCGAGGATCGGCCCTTCAATGGATCAAAAGTTATTTTACTAATAGACAACAGTATGTTCAATTCAACAGTACTTGTTCTTCATTAAGTAAAATCAAGTGTGGCGTACCTCAAGGGTCAATCCTCGGACCTTTGTTCT